AAGTAGGATAAATAATGAATTATTAAATCAAAAAAAACTGATTAATTGCTAATTCGGTTAAAATCGGCAGTGTCTTACTATGTAAAATCGGGGCAAAAAAAGAAAATAATTATCTCTTGATCCAATGATCCAATTTCAATGAACTTTTTTTTGTTTTATAGATCTTGATTTCCTCAATAAAATAAAAAATTTATTGAAATTGAAATACTAAATTATAAGAAAATCGTGAAAAAGTATTTCATATTATTATTATGACTAAATTTTAGTAAATCATAAAAAAAGAATTGATTCCTAATTCAGTGATCCAATTTCAATAATTTTTTTTTGTCTTTTAGGTCTTAACCTCTTCTTCACAATAAAAAAAAGTTTGTCAATATTGGACTGCTAGATCGGAAGATAATCACAAAGATATATTTTGCCATATTATGAATCTAAAAATCGTCTGGCAAAATATGTTTTCGCAATTATCTCACGATCTAGAGGCCCAATTTTGACAAAATTTTTTTATTATGTAGAGATTATTGAGATCTAAATAACAAAAAAAAGTTTATCGAAATTGGATCACTGAATCAGGAGATAATTGTCTGCTTTGTTATTAATGGAATCTGATCGTTGTCAGTAAAATATGTTTTTGTGATTATCTCACAACCTAATGGTCCAATTTCAATGAAATTATTTTTATTTTATAAAGGTAATTCAGACTTACAGAACAAAAAAAAGTTCATCAAAATTGGATTATTAGATCATATGATAATTATTTTTATTATTTGCACCAATTTCCCCAATTTTACATAGTAGGACACTGCTGATCTTAACCGAATTAGCAATTAAATGTCTTCTCCTGCTGAACTTTATACAAGAATTTCATGCTGATATATATAGGTCAATTTGGAAATTATGGTATTCATATCTAAAAACTTGGAAGAGTGAGCACAACATTACCAACAAATGTTTTATCAATTATTGGAAAAAGAAACAAGGACAACATTAATTCACATTCTGCATGAGGTATATGGCAATATATACACATCAAATGACCAAAAACAGGCAAAAAAATAGTGCGAATTGCATAAACTATTCGCAAATTTGTATAAACTATTTACAAATAGTATAGGTTAATTCGCAAATAGCCAAAAACAGCCAAGAATAGCCAAGAATAGCCAAGAATAGCCACTGCTTTTCATGCCATTTTTTTTGCTGATTTTTAGCATTTCGACCTGTGATAGATGCCTATACTGTATAGTGATGATGGATGATCACATGATAATAAAATCATGTGGATCTATTTTATATCTTCAAAAATTTTTTTATATAATTTGCATTGGTTTTAATTTTTATTGTTATTAAAAGTTATTTTTAAAAAAAAAAAATAAAATAAAAAGAACTGGCTTAATACAAACCTATCCAAATAAATGATCAACTAACAGGAAGTAAGAATAAAATTTATTTTTATTTTTATTTTTATAATATACTGTAGATTTTTTGTTTGGTTCTAATCTAGTTTTAGTGAATATTCTGCTCCTCTTCAAATTTAACCTATTTCAGCCAATTCTTTAGTTCTGGATGTACATTAACAAATCTCTCATAAAAATTGCTCTTGCTTTATCAATTTCTTTGTATCTTTTTTTTCATTTTTATATAAGCATTTCATGCTGATTCATCTGCATCCAACGTTCATATATACTGTATCTCCTGCAACATTTTCCAACATTTCTTTCATATAAATATATTTGTACCAAAATTGATCCACTTATGGTAATAAAGTAACAGCATGATCAAACAAATTTCTTGATATTGCAATTCTTCATTTCCATTTCAGTATATTTAATAAAAAGCAAATCCATATCCAATACCTTTTATATATCAAACACGCTTCTTCATTTCCATTTCAGTATATTTAATAAAAAGGGTAACATTGTGCAAATCCATATCTAATGCCTTTTATATATCAAACATGCTCTATTTAATTCTTTTTGACTTCTGCATATTTCAACTAACTTCTGATATTTAATCTATTTCTTCTTATAGCATCTTCAAATTCTTTCCTTTTATATAAATGCAATTCTATTAAGTCAGAAACCTTTTGTCGAAATGCTTTCTTCACAAATTCTTGTCTCTCTTTAGCTTCACAAAGAATTTATTCAGCCTGTAATTTGAATCAGTGTAGGATTTTTATTTTTGATCTTTGGATATTATTTATCTTGATTTGATACTTGTAAGAAGGATATTATAGTAAAAAGGATAATCCTATTATCAAGTATACCCATATAAAGGATATTAAGAATATTATAGTAAGAAGATAAGTATTTAAATTTAATCCATTTCAGCCAATTCTTTGGTTCTGGATATATATTAATGAACCTCTCAAAATTGCTCTTACTCTATCAATTCCTTTGTATCTTTTTTTCTATTTTTACATAAGCATTTCATGCTGATTCATCTAGTTTCCACTGCAATCCAACATTCAAATATTTGACATGCTCCTGCAATATTTTCCAACATTTCTTTCCCATAAGTAAGTATATTTGTACCAAGATTGATCCACTTAAAGTAACAGCATGATCAAACAAATTTCTAATATAATTGATATTGCAATTCTTCATTTCCATTTCAGTATATTTAATATGTACACAAATCCACATAGTTTTTTTTTGACTTTCTTTCTATGCTATATATTTCAACCAACTTCTGATATTTAATCTATTTCTTCTTATTCTTTCCTTTTACATAAATGATATTCTGACAATTCTTTAAGTCAGAAATCTTTTGATAAGATACTTTCTTTGCAGATTCTTGTCACTTTTTAGCTTTATGAAGAATTTGTTCAGCTAATTGGCACAGAATTTTTATTTTTGATCTTTAGAGGATCTTATTTTTGATGTATTAAAGGATAAGGTGCATTTATTTTTTATTTTGCAAAGTATGGGTAACTCCTAAAACTCATCATAGTCACTTAATGAGAATTACTGGATTCATTTTACTGTTATTTATAAAGATTTGGTGGATATATATTATGGTAAGAAGGATAATCCTATTATCAAATATACCTTATATAAAGTTAAGGTATATTTGATAGTAAGAAGGTAAGAAAAATAAAATAAAAATTAATAAATTAATAAAAAAAAAAGAAAGAAAGGGGAAATAAGGCCTTTTTATATATTTTTTTTGTTATACAAACTTTATGTCAACAAGTTTGAACTATACTTTTTTTAGGTAAATTAATTTCTTTTGTGAACCATAATAGGAAGGCTAATACTATTTTTAGGCAAATTAATTTCTTTTGTGAACCATAATTAGTGCTCTGAAATGAGTCAAGTTGAGTTGAGTTAATAATTTAATAAAATCGAGTTGAGTTGAATTAAGACTTATAATTCCAGCCAAAATTATGGAATTTCCTTTTTTAGAAGCTATATTATACAAAATTCAAGACAAAAAATTTTTGAAATTTACAAGAATGGAATTTTGTGGAATAGCTATCACCAAAAAAGGAAATGATCAGCATAGCTGAAAGATTCGGTTTAACCAGCCAACTTGACTTATAATTTTAACTTGACTTAACTCAACTTGATTTAACACAAGTTGAGTCGAGTTTACATATAACTTGACTTGACTTGACTCATTGACTCATTCACCCTATAAAAAATATATATACAGTTAGTATACTGTATTTTCGTATTTTGCAAACAGTATATTTATAGTATTATTACCATATAATTACAGTATTTTCACATACTGTATATATTTGGTATTCTGCACACTGTATCATACCTGCTGCAATAGCGGTGGACTTTTGACTTGAATGGCTTGCCATATTAAGGACATTTCTACCAAATTTTTAGTATTCTATAAAAGGTTAATTAGGTTGATCATTTTTAAAAATTACCCAATGGAAATTTCCTACGATATATGATAAAAAGTTTCTAAAACATAACTGATAAAATGTCAATAACTTTCCAAACTTGATGTTAGTGGCTATGAAAATTAATACAATTATCATCCTCTTCAAAGTACTTATTATGTGTTGATACTATGTTTATGTGGCTGTGAAGTGAATGATAGATCAAAATAGTAACTAAGAATAACTCATTTCTTTTAAGTATATATATTAAAATAGAAATCATCTATTTCCACTATACATGTTGCCGAAACTTGCCAAAAACATGGCCAAATCTGAAAGTTCCGAAACCTGAAACGAAACTCTGGCCGAAACTTGAGATCAATGTCCGAAACAATTTTATAATTCTGGCCAAAATTTTAGTGCCGGCCAGAATCATATATCACGTGACAGTGGATAAAAGTTTAGCCACCAGGAATGAACGTTACACAAAGTAAATTTTCAGCGATGAAATTTTGTGTTACATTAATGTTACACAAAACTTATAATGCAGGCCAAAATGCATAATGCCGGCCAGAAAATTTCGGCCCAACTTTCGACTTTCGACTGGAGTTTCGTTTTGGAATGATTGGCCGAAGGCCGAATCCTGAAATTATTCCGAAATTGCCGAGTTTCGGCAACATGTATAATTTCCATAATATTAATTTAAAGTGGCACTGTTAATTCAGATTGTGGCGCAATGTAAAAAAACGTGGCAAAATACTCTCATACGTTAATAAAAAAAATAAAATTTTACACAGCTAAAAATAATCATTAACATCAAAATCTTGTATTTTCAATTGTAAATTTTAACATGCCATAATGCAGAAAACGTGTCAAAAATACTCTTGTACGTCTTTACTTCGCCCTCTTTAATAACGCAATTTTACAAATGATCGCGGCTAAAAATAATTATTAACATCAAAAATTTTGCATTTCTCTGCTCTTCAATTGTAAATTTTAACATAGTTATGGCGCAATATAGAAAAGCGTGGAAAAAACACTCTTATAAACCTCCTTTACTTCGCCTTCATTGATAATTTGAAATAGTGTTATTATTAAAAAATTTTCTTATATAAACACTTTGAGAAAGAGGGGAGAAAATTTCTTTAAACAGATTAATAAACAACGAATTAAAAATTATATATATCTATATATATGACAATCACAAAATCAATAATGAAATTCAAATGCTTATTGCTAATTTTCGCCTTTACTATTGTTTTAGCGGGTAAATAAATCATCACTTTTAAAAGAAAATTTTCTTTTTTTATTCATATTAATATTAAGGGTTCTTTTTAATAATAATTTAAATTAACAGAAGCCTACCCCCCATGGGGATTGAAACGTGACGCTGACGCAGAAGCATTGGTGGCAGTTAAACGTGATGCGGACGCAGAAGCCATACCCGCATTGGCAGTGAAGCGTGATGCTGACGCAGAAGCATGGGGGGCATTTAAACGTGATGCGGACGCATTTCTTCCACACTAAAAATAGAATATATATTTTTTTGATTATCGATAAAGAAAATCTCATGTTTGCTTACCGTTACTAATTAACATTAAGTCGGTAGTGTGCTTTTTTTTAATGATATTATTATTTCTGATATATTTTTACGTGATCACAGTTTTCTTATTTTTCGTCAGTTCACTGTTCACTTTGAATTCAAAATGACCAGTAGTTGAATTTTTTAATAATATTTTATAATTACTTTTTCTACTTTTAGAATTGCGAAAAAAAATTGTAGAAAATTATTTAATGAAATTACTTTATTGCCTTCGTTTCTAAATACATTCTTCATGAATTTTTACAATATTTATGTTCATATAAAAAACGTTTTGTTGGCTATAATGATCATTGATTCACCACATGCTTTTTCACGAAATGTATGTTTCGATATAGAAAATCGAAATCGAACGCACAAATAGTAGCTGTGTTGGATTAGATGTACAACATGACTTGCCGATCAAGCGGTCTTAACTATAAAGAATACGGATCAGCAATTTAAAATTAATTTATACAGGCTAATTTAAACGTTACCATTTTTTTTAATTATATAGATGTGTTGCTGACAAGAAAAATTCTCCCATTTCATACAAAAGATATAAAGATATATGTAAAAATATTTTTATTTTTATTTTTTTTGAATCTTAAACTTTATTAGTATAACAATTCTCACAAACGTGGAACCGTCATGTACACGCAAAGCTATCTAATAAGAATATATACAAAAACCAAGAAAATATTACCCACTAAGTTAATTTGATAAAGTAAACTAAACTTTTATAAAATTTTTTTACTTTTATAACTAGCAGACCTAACTAATTACCTAACCACGAAATTTTAGCAGCGAATCCAACCAGAGCCTAATCTTGGTAAAAATATTTATAAAATCTTTATATTTGTCGGTGAAACGTTTGTCGGTGAAATGATTGTCGATGAAGTAATTTTCGGTGAGTTAAACGAGAGTACGAGACCCATGTTACATTATATCGATGTAACGTTTCATATGTACGATCTTTTTTATTTTGAGGGACCTTTTTTCATACACATGATGAAATAAGCCTGGTCAGGATGCCAGCGAAGAGAGGCAAGCCTCCATGAAGAAGTATAAAGCGTTATGGAGGGACGAATTTCTGCGGAGGGATAACGTGGGTAAAATGATAGATTTGTTACTTTTTTTCATCTTTTTTATTTTCTAGGGTTAGGATACTTTGATATTTTGTAAATAGACTTGCAGGTGAATTTCTTGAGATAAATAATGGAACTTTATTAGAAACTTTTTAATCTTTTTCAGTATCTTTTTTTTTTTTTTTTTCATCGTTTGAAGAAATAATTTTATTTTTATTTTTCAGTTTGGAAAACTTAGAATTTACTTTTTTTTCTTCTTTTGCATTTTCGTGTGAATTAAAACTTGGTGATAAAATAAGTGAAAATAATTAATAAATAAAACCAAAGTAAAAAAATTAAAATTTTATTGAATCGGTCGGTTTGTTGATCTTTATCGTTTCATTAACTTAAAAAAATTTTGTTCGATGATCAAAAAAAACTTCAAAATGCAATTTTATTTTATTTTAATGTTCTTAATATTAATATTTAATTTGATTTAAATTAATATTACGATATTAGTATAATTCTTACGGAAGAAAAATTGACGGAAAATTATACTTGGTCGATCAATTTAAAAAAATAAGGATCGGTATAGTTACAAGAAATTTGTTAATCATTTTTCAGTGATCTAACCTTAGTCTTACTCACTTGAATTTCAAGACTTTTAATTTGCAAAAAAAAACAAATGTTTCGGTCTTTAATAGTCATAAAATCAATGTGCTGACTGTGTATAACATATTAATAAAACTTGATTGGATAAAAAGATCATAGTTGTTTGTAAAGAATTTCTATTTTTTTTTTAAAAAAAAATAAAATGCTTCTTACTAATAATCTATAAAATATTAAACTTTATTTGAAATAATTTTTTTCAAAGTTTTTCTGGTATATCATTTTTATTCTACCGCAGAAAAAAAAAATAATTGGATCATCCACGTGAATATTCGGGTAATTTATTTTCCGAATGTTTCAATTTTGGCTATCATAATATTTTTAGATAATGCTTACATAACGATCAACATACTCGACAATCTTTTATTGTTTTAGAAAGCATATTGACAAATATTCATTATATTTCTAACCAATAAATCTAAAAACTGGCCAATTGCGAATATATAATAAAAATTTGAATTTTATCATACGATATTGGCTATTTATAATAATAAGCCCTAAGTTGCTTGTAAATCGATTATGCTTAAACTGGCTATAATAATCTACGTATTATACATTAAGTGTGCGAGATTTAATATGTTGAAACAACATTCGAAATTAAATATTACTCATCTTCGAAGATTATTCCATCTTTAATTGAAATATTTTTATACTGGTAGAGGGTTAACAATTATGATGATTTAACTTTTATTTTTTTTTTTCAAAATTTTTCATTAAAGAAAAAAAAATTCGATAAATTTTTTAATAATTATTTTTAAAATCTTGAAATTTTTTTTTTTGGATTAGAAATTATAGAACATCTGATAATTTATAATCATTTTTATTATTACTTTTAATTTTTATTCGCGTTGTATGAAAAACTATATTTTACTACGATAAAAATTACTATATACGAATTAACTATATTCTGGAAAAAATTTCATCTCATTTCATATGATACAAATGCAGGAGTCTTATAATATCTCGAATTGATCTTAAAATTACCCAATTAAAAATTTGAAACTTAGCTGATATAATCACATAAATCTCGTTTCAAATGTGATTTTACGAAATTAAATATTATTGAAACGAAAATAACGCTAAGGCAGATCAAATTTAGTGTGAAACGGTTCGATAAATTAAATTAATTAAAAAAAAGATGCTCGTTAAAAACTATAAATAATCTCTTTTTTTCACTTACCCATTCTCAATATCATTTCATTAAAATAAAAAAAAATTAAGATTAAAAATTTACTATATTAAGAGCAGCGCTCTAATAATTCTTTTTAAACAAACAAAAAATAATCATGAAGTTAGCATTAATTACCTCAATTTTATTGTCACTTGCCATTATATCTCAGGCAGTTCCTTTGGATATTTCCAAAAGAGATGGACATAAACAAATTCAATCAAATGATGATGAAATGCTTAGCAAAGTCAAACAGTCAATGGATAGTCAAGGTCTAAAAATTGCGGCGGTGAAGGTAAAAAAGGTGGAGGAGGTGGATGTGTTAGCGGTGCAGGTGGGTGGTAAGAAAAAGGGTCATAAAGGTGGAAAAGATAATGAAGACTATGAAAATTATGAAGGGTATGAAAATTATTATGATGGAAAGGATGGAGAGTATGATGATGGAAAGAATGGAGGATATGATGATGGAAAGAATGGAGGATATGATGATGGAAAGAATGGAGGATACGATGATGGAAAGGATGATGGAAAAAATGGAGGATATGATGATGGAAAAAATGGAGGATATGATGATGGAAAGAATGGAGGATATGATGATGGAAAGAATGGAGGATATGATGATGGAAAGGATGGAGGGTATGGTGATGGAAAGGATGGAGGGTATGATGATGGAAAGAAAAAGGACGATGGAAAGTATTAATAAAGAAAAGAAAATAGATAGATTAAATAGATTCCTTATTACGTATAATATACATATAAAACGTGAGAATAGTGAAAATAATTTTTCTTATATAATTATTAATTTTATTATAAAATATTATACTTTTTTTCTTGATCATTTGTCACTACTGCACTAGAAGTGAATTTTTTTGTATTATTATTATTTTATACAACATAATATTATGGATAATTTTATTATTATATTATTATTGTTATTATTATTAAAAAATATTATATTTTATGAATTAAATTCGTAATAAAATAAAATCGGTAAAAACCATTACAATTGTTGTTTAAAAGTGGAAAGGTTTAAAATTTGAATCAATAAATCCGCGATGTTTAAATTTGGGGTATGGTATGCCAAAAAGGAAACCATGTTAACGTTAGCATTAATGTTAGCATATTTCATATTTAAATGAAGCTAATCTTAACGTAAAACCATGCTCACCCACCACCGATCCGAGTAAAAAGTGTTTATTCACCGAAAAAAAATGGGGGATGTCCCTTTTTTCATCTTTTGGGCTCAGTCAGAGACCTACAAAAGATACAAAAATGTTTAAATTAACTTGTTATAATTAAAGAATTTTAAATTTTTTTTTACAAATGTTTGTATATTTAATTTTTAGCTAGGCGTCATATTCCTAACATTATACCTTTTATGAGTAATTTTAACCTGCAAAGTTAGATTTCACTGTTTAAAATAGAGTAAATAATGAGCTAATACAATATTTAGCTTATCAATGATTTCAATAATTTATAACCTAAAAAACATACTGCGCAATATCCGCTGATCTGCAATCACGTGCGTATAATATTTGACGTGAACGATTAATTAAAAGATGGAAGGTAATCAAATCAGGTGATTTTAATAATATTAACATAGTTATTATGACACAGATTTTTGAATAATAAATTTGACGCGTACAAATATTTTTTATAATTTTTTTAAGCTTCTAACAAAAAAATCCTTAGCCGTTTTCTCTTTCCTTTCTCACACTCGTCCTTTTTCTCTCGCTTTTCTCCTTCTTACTCTTACCGTCTTTTATACTCTGTCCACTCTCATTTTTTCCTCTCTTCCTTTTTATTCGCTCTTGCCTCCCTCTCTTGGCGTCTCATACTCTTCCTTCTCTTTCTTTCCACCTTCCCACTTTCTCTCTTTCACTCTTCTTCCCTTTCCCTCTCACGTTTCCTCCCTTCCTTCCCTTTCTTTCTATCCTCCTTCACTCCTTTCCTTTCCATTCATATTCATTTTATTATTTTATTTGGGTATCTTTGTTGGAGCAGCATGATGCTGTGTACGGGTGGGAGCATAGCGTACTTACTTTGTAAGCCTGTGAGTACCAGCTTTTGCTGCAGCCTCACAGTAGGGCTGGTTTGGAATTTTTTGGAGCGGTATAGTACTATGCATAGACGCTTACTTTTAGTAAGTTTGGGTACCAGCTTTCGCTATAGTCCTACGATAGGACCGGTTGGTTGTGGAACAGCACGGTGCTATGCGTAATTTTCATGGGAGGAGCATACTGCACTTCTTAAGAAGTCCCTTGTGGCAGGGCCGAAGGTAATTGTATTTTTACTTTTATTGTGGTTTTTTTTTATTTTTTTGTTATTCTTAAGTTCATTGGGTATTTGTTGGAGCAGCATAATACTATGCACGGGTGGGAGCATAGTGTGCTTACTTTGTAAGCCTGTGAGTAACAGCTTTTGCTGTAGTCTTACAGTAGGGCTGGTTGGGAATTTTTTGGAGCTAGTACTATGCGAGGGTTGGAGCATAGACGCTTTTTTTAGTAAGTTCGTGGGTACCAGCTTTTGCTGTAGTCCTACGATAGGACCGGTTGGTTGTGGTATGGTGCTATGTGTAATTTTCATGGGAGGAGCATAGTGCACTTCTTAGGAAGTCCCTTGTGGCAGGGCCGTAGTACTTTATTAATAATATAATATAGTAAAGTATTTTATTATAATTAATTGTAATTAATATTTAGAGTTTTTAATTAATATTAAAAGTTTTGGTTCAAAATTATGAAAAAATCTATTAACACAATTTTAAAATGAAGTGAACTGTTTGTGATGCTAATGTTTATTCATGGTGCATCAACAAAACGCTTTATAAATTTTTTAGTCTGTTCACAAGTTAGTCATGTTTTGGAATGTTCTTTTTTCATCGCGTATAAAGAAAAGTCTATATCTATCATATGATTATGATTACCAATTGTTGATTAACCAAATTTATCGATTATTTCCGACATTGATTCTAAAAATAGTGATAAATCAAATAATTTTACCATTCATAAACCTATTTGGTCATTCATTTACATTAAAATAAGTGAAAATTTTATCCTTACTTTACTAAAAATAGTATTGATCTTGCGATAATTTTTTTATATGTTTTTCATTATATCTTGAAAGATTATTAATTCAAACTAATAAATAAATTGATATAATATATATTCCTAAATAAAGAATTACACGAATTACGCAATTATTTTTTGATAAAATGTTATTTACATAAACATTACTTTTTTTATCAATATATGAAAATAAACTTGTACAAATGATATCATGGTTTAAATAAACTATTAACTTTTTGGAAAAAAACTTTTTCCATAAAAACAATTTCGGAATTAATCAATTCCGCCAATTGTATAACCTTAATAACCTTAAAATCATATATATATAATCGATCAGATCAAACTTTTTTTTCAAAATTAATTCTCTCTATATATATATATTTTTTTTTTCAAAAAAAATATTCTAAAATGTCCTTGGACGATCTTAGAGACCAAATTCTTTCGAATTTTAATGAGGAAAGGGTTAAAGTCAATCAAAGACTTCTGATTGATAAGATTTTAGCTCGGTATGATTTTTAATTAACTAAAATCATTTTTTTTTTTTTTTTTTTTTGTAATTTTAATCTTAAAAATAAAATCTTTATTAAATTAGATACTCTTCGGAATTCGTAATATATCGGGAGTTGATGCAAAATTCTGGTAAAAATTTATCATTTCTTTATCGTTTGATTAATAACATGATGAAAGACTAATTTGTTTTTGTATTAACATATTAACATTAAAATACGTTAAATAAAGACGACGCGAAATCGTCAAGTATCCAGATTGTATTTGAAACCGAAAACAATAAAGTTACACGAATTATATTCAAAAATAATGGGTTCGCTTTTAGACCTGAGGATTGGGATCGATTGAAAACGATTGCCGAGGGAAATCCAGATGAGCAAAAAGTACATTACTTTTTTAATTTAATATCATTTCTTTTGAATTTAATCTCACAAACTTAACTTTAATAACGTTAACAGATAGGAGCTTTTGGTGTTGGTTTTTATTCATTATTTTCATTTTGTGAAAATCCATTGTGAGTAATTATAAAGAAAGAGTTTTATTCTTAAACATTACTATTGATGAAAGTTAATTCACGTAATCACGTTTCTTTTGATAGTGTTTCTTCTGGTGGACAAGGTATGGCTTTCTATTGGCGTGAAAACCAATTATTTACAAAACAAGGACCAATTGAGGATAAAGACAAAGGTTGGACAACGTTTTTAATGGATGCAAGAGTACCTATAGAGGTAAATAATGTATAATTGTTGAAGTCGTTAAAAATTTTTACATGTTATATATCAATAATAATATTTTGCTGTGCCACTTCGTTTACAATAATTAGTTACCAGACGTTGAAGATTTCGCCCGATTTTTGGCTAATTCATCGGTATATCATATTAAATTGCTCATTATTTATATAATAATATTGTTAGTGGTTACGGTATATAACGTAAATTAATATGTATATTTTTTCATAAAATAATAATAGTTGTTTACAGTAAATCTTCAGGAAATCTCTGTGTATTTTAATGACACTATGCCAATAAAACTATCAAAGAAAATGCAAGATCCGAAATTGATGGTCATCGCATCCGAATACGACGTGTTTTCTCCACTAAAATTATTTCATCTTACCTCAGTAGATGTTAGAGATGTCCAATTAGACGTTAAGTATCAAACAGAAGAATCATCAATATTTTTTAGAATTGCTAGTGGAAATTTGGATGTTTCAGTTAATGATGAATTTTCTGAAGAAATGGAACGAATTACCAAAAAGAAACCACCAAACAAAACAAATATTCAAATGATTTTTACTGGATTCGAAGAACATAATTCATCTAGTAAAAATGTTTCTCCAGTCTTTAAAGATTTACTTATATATCCAGAACAAGGAAGATTGTATATCGGTTTCTCAACTCAACAAACTACTGGATGTTGTTCTCATTTAGCTGCTCGTGTAATTCCTACTGTATGTATAATTTTGAAGATCGATTGATAATATTATAGTTTTTCATTTATTAATTTAAATTTATATTATTTAGATGGAACGGGAATCAATTGATTTAGCGAATAAAACATTAGCTGAATATAATAGTGAGATGTTATGTTTAGCAGGAACTTTATGTAGAATTTTGTATGAAGATGAAATGGATCAAATAAAACGGCTATATAATGAAAAGATTAACAATGAAACTAATGAAGAAAATATAAAACTTATTCGTGAATTGTTGGAGAAACGGGCAGCACATGCTTTAACACACTTTACATTTAGTCAAAGCACACCAAATAAGCAAGTTGGTGAAATAATAGCATTACAATTTTTTAATTGTTTGGAAACCGATTTATCGATTTTATCAACAAACGGGGTTCTTCCAATATCTGATGTTCGTATACCTAATTCAGAAATGATAGGATTCATAAAAAAAGTTCCACTTGTTCCTAAAATTATATTAGAACAATGTGATTCTTTTCTCAAGGAAGCTAAAGATATATGGAAATTTATAGTAGAGTTGACTTTTCAAGACGTTTTATACGAACTGAAAAATCGAACACTTTCTGAAGATGAAATGATTGATCTGTTGAAATGGTGGATTTCTTATAAATCAAATAAAGATAATATTGATCCTGCTACAGAGTTCATGAAACTTGCACGTATTGGCGATAGACCCTTGAATACATTTCGTTATATCTTAAATCCAGGTAGAATTCCTCCAAATATTGATATTCCAGATGAAGTGTTACCATATACTATTTCTAAGAATTTAGAAAGTCAAGATCTTAAAAAATGGCTTGGATGGACAGAATTAACTTTGGTCGATTGGGCAAAGTTTATTGTCAACAAACCTGATTTAGAAAATGAACCTACATTTGCTCGGAAAGTTCTTCAAATTTTGGCAAGAAATTTAGATAATACTTCTAAAAGTAATATAGAAATCATTCGTCAGTTATTTGTTCAAAAGAAATGCATTCCAACTATTTTAGGAATGAAGATTCCCAATGAAGCTTATTTTGAAAATGTCAATCTATTCCCCGACTTACCAAGGATCGATTTTGAAAAGCCTTTGACCGTTAAGAATTTAATGGAACTTTTCGGTGTTCGAAAGGTAATCGAAAAAAAATTCTTTTGTATATTTAATATTTAAAATGATTAAACTCAATTTCTAAATTTATAATAGGTTGTTGAATTAGAACTCATTTTTGATCATCTTAATGGTCAAGGAGATTGGGATCATATGAAGCTTATAAAATATTTGGCTACAATGTACGATGATCTTAAGGACGAAGAAATAAAGATATTAAAGAACAAACCCATATGGCCTAAGGAAGATTTATTAGAATCAAATTCCAATGGCAGTAATAGTAATGAAGGAGAAGAAACGAAATCAAAACAACGTTTTATTGCTAGAAAGTTGTATACACCTATAGCACTTCATCGTGAATTTGGATTACCAGTAATTAGTTTTAAAGGAAGATGGTCTCATAATACTGATGAAGGTATAATAAGTCTATTATTATTAAGTTTATTAAAAAAATTATTTAATATATAATATATTTTAAAAATTTTTAAGGAAAATTTTTAATCAAATTGGGCTTAAAAGACCACCCTACGCTTGAAAAAATTCTTGAATTGGTAACACCTTCAACTGATTCACAAATTCATAGCAAAGCTCTTAAATATTTACTTGATAATTTTGATAAAAAATATTCTAAAGATTATAAACCAGCTGAAGTTAAAGTAGCATTTTTACCTTGCATGGAACCGAACATTTACTCGAAACCTTTAGAGTGTTTTATTAATTCTGGTTGTGAAATATTGAAATTCCAAGTTGTGCAACAAGATTTACGATATCAAGTAGAAAAACTCGGTGTTCTTCGGGATCCTAATCGGGAAATGCTCTTAAATAGGTTAACTCAAGATCCACCACAAGATAAGGATAATGCAAAGAAAATTTTTGAATATTTAGCATCACAACAAACATGCTTTACAGCTTCCGATTGGAAGATGCTTGCTAATTCCAAATTTATTCCAGTTAAAAATGGAATTGACAGTCCAAATCATTGTTTTTTTAAAATTCAAGATAAAATGTACGTATTACTTATTCACTCATTTTATTTATTATTATAGAAGTTTTAAAAGAATTATTTTCTATTTTAGGTTAGATGAATTTTATTCGCATGTTGATTTTGGAGATAAAGCCAATGGCTTTTTGAGTAAATGTGGTGTTAAAGCTGAACCATCTTATATAGATTATGTTGAATTGCTGACCAATTCTTCAGTTAAATTGTGGAAATTAATTGGAAACGACATAGAAAAATATTTATCCATTTTGAGAAATATTGCTAGTAGTATTATATATATAAGAAATAATCCCAAAGATATAATTTCAGCAATGAAAAAAGCACCTGTCTTGGTTGGCATAACAAAGGAAAAGGAAAATATCGATTCTGAAATAAAAGAAACTAAACGTTATCATTTAGTTTCTGCTGAAAATGTTTTTATATGTGATGATGAATCATATCGAGATATTTTAAATCCAATTACGGCCCCTGTTGAAACCATTTTAGAAGATTTTTATAAGGTATTTATTAAATTATATAGATAATTTTGTAAAAAAAAAAAAAAAAAATTATTTGTAATTAATTATTGCACACGACATGAAAGCAGAATGTAAAATTAAAAGGATTTTTTATTTACATTTTTTTTTTAGAAATTAGGATGTAGATTATTAAGCGAATCTGTAAAAGAAATTTCAATCGCAAAAGGAAATATTAGAGAAACCAAAAAATCTCGACAATTATTAGAATTAATTATAGAAAGAGCTAGTATATTTTATTTTGGGCAGTCTGAAACAATGATTAAAAGAAATGAGGAGTATCTTAAAAAATTAAAAGCTAAAGAGATTGATTATATAGAAACAACTTATACATTGGATACTATCAAAAAGGTTCAACAAAATGAAGCCAGTATTCTTCAAGATAAAGTAATAAATTCATGGGTTCTTTTCATAACATCTAATTCAAACTTTTGTGATATTTCGAAACAAATAATCAAATTTATTTTTAAATCAAAAGATTGGAATAATTGGAAAGAGATTACATCTCTCAATACGCTTTTAACAAGTTCTTTAGAAAATTTAAAATTTATGGGAATACCAGTTGATCGTATATTAAAACAAAAAAATAATTATCAACATGTTGTTAATCAAATGCGAATTGATCAAGGAGATGAATTTAGTTTTACGCTCGATACAGAAGAAATGAAAGAAATGAAATCTCCATCCCCTGTACCTTCCGACAATAAAAATTATATTTCTGGTGATGCACGTACTATTAATTATGAGAACATGCGAGTTTTAAGAAGTTCTTTACATGATGCTGTGAAAGCTTGTTATTCGAGAGATATTGATAAGGACGAAGTCAAAGAATATCGCAAACCTAACATTGAAGATATTATGGGTAGTCTACCTGGTATTATCCAAAGTTGTTTGAATGATACTAATAAAAATGATTACTGTGAAATTGTACCAGGTATTTAATATTTACAATATTTATATAATATTAGCATGTTAATTATGTTAATTCTAAATTTATATTCTATTATTTGGTTTTGACGTATTTTATTGCTTTTATTAGATGAGGAACTGCACTGTGTTGAAACTTTACAAGATATTGACATTTATATTCCTAGAGATCTTAATAAATCAGAAATCCTATCACAAGCACATACCGCTTCATTAGACAGATTTATAAATATGTTAAGAGATCTTGTGGATGCATTTGAAATCTCTTTAAAAGATATTAGTATATTTTATGATAATAATACAAACACGATTGCATTCAATAGAAACAGAATAATGTTTTTTAATTTTAGATTTTATCTTGGATTACATGATGAAGATTGTAAAATTAAACCTACAATTAAAGTCATAACTTATTGGTTCATGATGTTTTGTCATGAATTAGCACATAATTTTATTAAAAATCATAACTCTGAACATGAAGTAAGTAAATGAGTAATTTTTATTTATATTTTATTATTTATATTTAATTATTTTATGTATAAAAATTAATTTTTTTTTTTTCAAATAGTATTACTCTTTATCATTTGTGGAAATTTATATGCCAAATTTTTTGGAATTAATGAAAAAACGTCAATTTCTAACTAGTGGGATAAATGATGGTCGATTTGTAAAATTAAATTAAGAATCGTAAAGATTAGTAAAGTATATTAGTTTTATTTTTATTGTTTATTGAAGAACATTTGTATTTTATTTTTATTTTTATTTTTATCTATTTTTTTATTTATTGACTAAAATAAATATATATATCATGATTATCACGTGTTTAAATTCACAAAAATTTTGTCGGTTACAATAATTTTTCTTTTTTTTAAAAAACGGTTAAATAAACTTTATTAAGTGTAATAAGATCAAATACGTTTGAAATTACATGTTAGGACTTGGGATTCGGCAATAAGATCGTTATCCATTTTAACCTGGTTGGTTATAGTTTTCTGAATTTCTAATTTCGCTTGCTCCAATTTCTTCGTACTGTATATTCTTTTTCATATTGATGCAATAGACTTTCACGGTCAGCTAACTTTTTTTCTCGTTTGGCTAGGGTTTGTTCGAATAAAACTAACCTGTTAAGAATATTAGTCCCGCCCGAGGTTGCTGTTTTCAATCGTTGATGATCTTTTTTCTTTGTTGTTACTTCACGATTCAACAGTTCTTCCACTTCAGAATGAAATTACTCGCCTCTTCTATTGTTAATAGATATTTCCAAGTGTTGTAAGACGTCTCCATTTAATAGAGCGAGGAAATTGGTTAAGCTGTGTTGCGTAGTATGAATGAAAAAATGGTAATAACGAGTTACTCATTTATCCGAAGAGTACTCGATGGATATCCTACATATACGTGAGAAAAAAATCTTAGAATTCATAGAACTCTAGGTATTCTTAGAATCAAGGAATTCTATATACTTCGGTAATGCCAAAAAATATGTGTTTATTATGTTAGTTGTGTTTTATTACGTTCGCAAAGTAAATAAGAGAAAACAGAATGAAATAACCAAAATATGTGGGTAAGAACGTGTAGACTAATGGGAACTCGTCGTTTAGTTCTAGTCGTGGGACATATGCTGGAGATCATAATTTTCCCGGGTGTTTATATTTAAAAAGAGTAATATGTCCTGATTTGATTTCAATATAGAGGTAAGATTGCTTATAAATAAAGGGATCCTTTTACTGTATATGTTTTGTAATGATCCCAAATTGGAAATTTGGAATATATCATTACGTAAAAAATGTCCTTCCACAACCCACATTCACCACATCACACGAAAAAACACATAGCTATTTAAAAACATATCTTTATTTATTATTTTTATAAAAAAAAAAAAATTACATATTACAATTAATTTCCTCTGCATGATAAAAAAATATTATGGTTTATTAAAGGTCTTGTTGGTAAAAAAAACGTTGAGAAAATTTGAATAAGAATCATGATCTGAAAAATACGCAAGACATCTGAACCACCTACCCCTTAAATGCCGTAACATCAAATAATGATTATTTGGTAGAGTCATTGCGTAAATATAAGATTCTTTTGGTACAATGTTATAAGAGTTGATTTTTGATCCAATAATTTTCATCCGACTACTTGCTTTATCAAATTTATATTCTCTAACTTCCCCCTTGATATTACGACCAATTACTTCGTTAAGAATATTATCTCTTTGTAGGTCTTGAATCATTTGACGTGCGTAATTTGAAAGAGTCGGAAAGTTTACTGGGTCCAGAATTTTTACCACAATATTCACGCTCGTCACAAGCGGTGGTCTGGGTTCTTGCAGGGGAAGGTGTTCCATTGCTTCTTTCCCTGGTCTTTTGATTCGTCTTCCTGGCACTATTGAGAGAGCTGCTTCCATTTCGAAGTCCTCTATTTCTGTCAACATTACATTGTTTGGTTCCTTTAAAAAAAATTTATAAGTTTGACCATTATCAAATATGTACATGAAAATGAAATAACAGAATGGATAAAAATCAATAGATTTACCATCTGGACTTCTTGGAGAAGATCCATTTTGATCAATTATTTCGTCGTGTTCTACAAATGGTTCTCCGTCCTCAACCCACTTATTGTATTTGGTCCAATTCACAGAAGACTTGAATCTTTTGCTTATTTCTTCTAGTTGTGCTTCCGTAAATTGAGGAAAAAGAGACCGAGGAAATTGGGTTTCTGACATATTTACGAGTTTTTCTTATAGTTTAAAAAAAGTTGTGAGTGATGTAAAAGTAATGAGTAATATCTTAGAGGAGGGGGTAAGGCAAAATATAAAATTTAATATTGACATGATATATTAGTAATGATGTGATGTCATTTAATATATATAACACAAACTCCCATGTGATTATTCTGTTGATTTAAATTGTATGTCACAATCTCATATGACCGCCCTAGGTCGCACAGATGCAGATTTTACATAATTGTTATTTAGGTCGGTTATCTCATATTACTATGAATTAGCATAATAATAAAATTATTGTATTTACACTTATTGTATATGATTGATGTTAGTATAAAAATACTTAAATTTTTCTTTAAATAAAAATGGGACTTAATTGAAATTCTTTTTGAAAATGATAAAATTACTTTACTATTTACTCTTCAGTATGAAATTTCTGCTAGAACTAAATACGAAAAAATAGCGAAAAAAAATAATAAAAATAAGATGAAAAGAAATAACGAAAATAAAAATATATATATATAAATATAGTCTTAGAAGACTAGTAACGGAAGGACTAAAAAAGGAAACTTGCTTTCCTGTAGTGCTTCGATCCGTATCCGGATCGATCCAGATATTTTTTTCCGGATATCCGGATTTTGCGGTTTTCATCCGGATTATAATCTGGATGAAAAATATCCGGTTTAAACCAGAATCTGGATGAATCTTTATTCATTTTTTTTGCATAGAACTGTAATTTTATATAATTAAGATTTATATATTTTTTTCATTAAAGTACCATAGACAAAATTTTAAATACTGAAAAGTGAAAACACCAAAAACAGTTGCATGACATGTTGGTCAACTGATTTAAATGAAAAATTATTACAAAAAATTGGGATATTATTTTTGAAAGAAGAAACAAATCTCATTTTAACATTTTACTAACTCAACTCATCTATCTATAGTAATGTTTAGCTGTATATAAAAATATCTTGTTTATCCAAAATTTCATAGTTAGTTAATTTGTTAAACAATAGTCTGAGACAATGCTGAATAATATGAAACTTTGGTTTAAAAAAAAGTATTGAATAAAATTGGAATTATGAAAATTTCGCGGTCTTAGATAATTTTGGCCAAATTTGTAATTCTGGCCGAAATCAATATCACGTGATACCGTTTAGCCACCGGGTAAAAGATTTTTTATTGACTCAGAAAATTTTTAATGTTACACAAATTTGTAATTCTGGCCTGCGTTATGAATTCTGGCCAGAATTATTGCCGATCAGTTGTAAATCCAATCCGGATTCCAGTTTCTATCCGGATTATTTGACCCGGATAAGAATCCGGATCTTTTTTGTGTGACCCGGATGACGGTTTTCATCCGGATCGAAGCACTTCTTTCCTGGTATATACCCGTTATATACCTGGCTCTTATCATAAAATTAATAAATTAGTATTTTTTACTAATTTATTTTTTACAATACTAAGGACAGTTTTTGTTTAGTCAAATACCAGATTTGTTTTCATATGTACAATACTTCAAATAATTACGTTCATCAGCGTATTAATTGAATTGCCTACTAGTGAAATTTTCAGTTTATTGGATAGGAATAAAAAAATTATCGTTCTTTAAGTGGTTTAGTGGCCGGAAAAGCTCGATTTGTTCAACTGAGCTTTATTGATACTATTTTTAAATGTATTTTAGCTTTACATGGTAGCAAAATTTTAGCTCATAGCAAAGTAAATAGCTCTGAAACGAGGTAAAAAATTATATCGATCTTAACATATTTTTATTATTTGTTCCATGTGTTTTCAAAATTATTTCAAAGATTTTAATCAGTTAATTAAAGGAATGATGAACTCTAATTATGATATTACTGACAACTAAATTTGTTTACTACTTAAATAATTAAGGTTCTTTAAGATCAAAACGTGTAACGATCGAATATTTAGTTTTCTTTTTTCGGTTTTTTTTGCTTAATAAACCGAAAAACTCACTTTTTTGGTTTTTTTTCTTTCGGTTTTTCCTTTGATAGTTAAACAAAATTAATTTATTTTTTTATTAAACCGAAAAAATTTTTCTTTTAACCAATTTTTTCAACCAAAGAAATAATATTAGTAATTAATTTAATTTCGTTGTCGTGAAAAGCAATTACGTATAAAAATTAAATATGATCAAACACAATTTCTATTACGTATCATGTGTTAAATACTACGATAAATCGCATATGAGATATATAGTAAAAGATAAATTTCTTGATGATGGTGGGATAATCGTGTCATTCAATGTTTTAAAAAGTTTTAAATCGAAAAGAAATTGTTCTAAAATATGATTTAAAATTTTAAATCATGTGCCATTCCTACAAAATACTTCATAAAGTATGTACATATTTGCAGTATTTATAATACTGTAATAACGATAATATAACATTTTTGCGGTCATAGAACATTTTTTTTAATAATAGACCTAAATGGTCTTTTTGATCACCAGGTTAAGATAAGCTTTTCGTCAGTAAATAAAATTCAATAGTCAAAACGAATATTTTCCTGCTAAGTGAACATAGAATTATAAGAATTGAGTATTAAATACAGTATTTAAGATGTTAATTCTTTTACAGAGGAGTATTACGTAGCATGCAATATATATTGATATTAGAAAAGCTGTAGAAAAATTTAGGAGCTAGCAGTTTAATCAGTTGTTACGTTGTTATTAAAGGAAAAATGAGGAGATTTGATTAATATACATGCGTGGAATTTTGCCACTGTCCCTTACATTACTTAATATGATTTAACGGTTTTATAACATTTATTTATTACTATTTTTTAAATATATGTGTATAACGGAACTTTCATTTCGAGATAGGACATCGCTTAGTTAGATTGAATGATTGATAAGATTAACATACAAAATTTTAACAAATCATCATTCGAGAATCTTGGCGTGTATATTACTATCTAAATAATATTGCTTCTAAGAATAGAACATTTTGTGATACATATTTTCTACTATATTCAATATTTTAGGTTAACGTTACAAAAAATTTAGCCACAGCTATGTGACTAACCTTATCAATTGTTTATATAGATCTGCAACCAAGTGTCGGAAGTTATCAATGCTACATTACATTACATTACAGTGGTTCTGGATATGCATATATTGCCCAGTAAAATTTTTTGGACAAAAAATGCAGGATTTATGGATTCATATTATTATTTTTGCAGTTCCTTTAAACCATTTGCTTGATAATTTGAACACATGTAAGTATTTTATTGATAATGTATAAGGTTACATCAGCAGAAGGAATGTTCAATTATTTTCTTGAGGAGTTGAGGATTCTATATTTAACAATTATTATCGTTTAGCCCAATAGGATCATGCAGATTTTCATAGACCGATATTTTATTAGGCATAGCAATTGCACATGATTGATGTAATAGAGTGGAGTGAAAAATATGGTGTGAATGAATATTTAGTAGGAAAAGTTTAAATAAAGCTAATAAAGTGGATTAAAAATAGCATAAAAATGAAATTTATAGAAAGTTAAATAAAGATTATTAATGATGTTATTAATTAATGCATGATCAAAAACGTCAGAACGATAACACCATTATTATTGGATGCAGAGCTATATCGGTCCTGTGACCGATATAGCTACTCCTCCATCCAATAACTATTTATTAATATGCGAGGATTCGTATACCGACGAATCTATTTTTAGAAGTAAACAGAACGTATTTATCATTACGAACCATTTTAATATTGAAGAAAAAAGATAAAATTATATTGCGTTTCACAGAGTTTTAGTTACCCTCTATCTGAATTACGTAAGTCAGCCCCTGATTTAATGATGTAACACAATTATAATTTGGCTCAATATAGAATTCGTTTGAATGTAATCATTGAAAGTTAAACTTCTTTCCTTGCTATAATAATCGTTTCATTTATTCGTACTGTACACAAGAAATTCTATAAAGAATGTTTACTTTTTACGCCAAAATTTTTTATTTACAAATAAAACAAACATAATCATTCTGATTATTATCCTTCATTAATATAAAAAATATAGCGCTTTTTTAAAAACTATTAGTAAAATTGTAACAAAAGATTTATACAATACTTTATTTAATATGTATTTATAATAGAAAAAAAATACTACTTTAGATAAGGTACGTTAAAATACTAAAGAAATTATGACGCAGTAAAAGGATTTTTGATCTAACCTTAAATGTCGAGATAATGAAAAAAATTAACAAATCGGATACTTTTAATCATCTTGAAAAACATGCTTTTGAAAGTATTTTTGGTCATTGTCGATCGGTACATTTTCCCTTTTTGAATATTAAACTGGTTTTTAACCGGATTAATTCTTGATTCTCATAAATCATATAAATAGACCGGAAAAAAATTTCCCTTTCCTTCACCTTTTCACATACCATTTATAATGTTTTTGGACGCTTTTAGGGATAATATTCTTTCTAATTCTGAAGGTGAACTTGTTGAAATCAATCAAAGATGTTTAATCGATAAAATTCTGGCTCGGTAAGGCCTCTTAAACGTTAACTTTCCAATTAGAAGTTTGTAAAATTTTATTTCTTTAAAATAATAAAAAAAATCTTTAACTAGTTACTCTTCCGAATTTGTTATATATCGTGAATTAATGCAGAATTCTGGTAAAAACTTTATAATACATTTTATTTATGTATGATAAAATAATTATTAATCATCGTATTAAATAAATTTGAAGATGATGCGAAATCATCAAGTATCCAAATTATATTTGAAACCAAGAATAATGTAGTTACGCGAATTTTGTTCAAAAACAATGGAATTTATTTTAGACCTGAGGATTGGAATCGATTAAAGAAAATTGCTGAAGGAAATCCGGATGAGCAAAAAGTGAGTTTAAGGAATTGGCCTGCACCGCATTAATTGATTATTGTAGCTGGTATCGTCAGAACGATAAAAAAAAAAAAATCGTTAACCAGTTAACTTACTTATAACAGATAGGAGCTTTTGGTGTAGGATTTTATTCATTGTTTTCGGTCTGTGATAATCCATTGTAGGTTATTATAAAATGGCTTCGCTCATTGTTTTTTCATTAAAATTCTACTGTTAATAAATATTTTTTGATTAGCGTCTTTTCTGGCGGTCAGGGAATGGCTTTCTATTGGCGTGGAAATCAGTTATTTACAAAGCAGGGTCAAAATAAATCAACTGACGATTGGACAACATTTTTGATGGATATGAAAGATCCTACAGAAGTAATATTAAAATTATATACACACATAATTTATACTTTATTTAAATTTTAGCGTGCTAATTTTTTTTTTTTTTTTGTATTTCAATTAGATTCCAAATATTGAAAAGTTCTCGCGGTTCTTGGCCAATTCATTAGTAAGCTAGCTTATATTTAATGTTTTGGTGTAAATGAGTATTTATAGTTTATTTACTTGCATAAATATAATTTTTTTTTTTTAATCAATTAACAATAGGGATTTACGGAAAACCTTCAAAATATATCTGTACTTTTTAATGATACGTTGGTAATACGACTATCAAAGAAAATACAAAGACCGGAACCGTTAAGAATCACATCTGAGTTCAATACGTATTCTCCACAAAGGATGTTTCAACTAACTTCAATAAATGTTGGACGCGTCCAGCTTGACGTTGAGAGATTAATTGTCCCAACAAATTTTAATGTAAGACAATTGCATTTGATTAATTATCAAACGGAAAAGGCTTCCATATTCCTTAAAACTGCTAATGGAGATTTGGATGTTAGAGTCAGCAACGAGTTCTCTTTAAAAATGGAACAAATTACTAAAAAGAAGCCACCAAGAAAAACATCAATTCAAATGATTTTTACTGGATTCAATGAACACAATTTATCCAGTGATTCTGATGAAAATATTTCACCGGTCTTTAAAGATTTACTTCAATATCCGGAGCAAGGAAAAATTTATATCGGTTTTTCAACTGATCAAACTACTGGATGTTGTTCTCACTTAGCAGCTCGTGTCATTCCTACTGTATGTACACTTTCGATATTAGAATTATAATATCATTTTATTTTTTTTAGTTAATTAACTTTATTTTATCTAGATGGAACGAGTATCAATCGATATGGCCAATGAAACTTTGGCCAAATACAACAGTGAGTTGCTATATTTATCAGGAACATTATGTAGAATTTTATACGAAGATGAAATGGATCAGATAAAACGATCATATAATAGTGTTAATGCTGTACATGATCGTGCATTGTTGGAAAAACGAGCAGCACATGCTTTAACGCACTTTACTTACCATCCAAGCACACCAAATACACAAATTGGCAAAATATTAGAATCTCAATTTTTCGATTGTACAAGAAAAAATTTGTCAATTTTATCTACAAACGGCGTCCTTCCAATATCTGATGTTCGCATACCTGATCCAAAAATGATGGGATTTATTAAAAATGTTCCAGTTGTTCCAACGAATATATTTGAGCGATGCAATATATTTTTCATAAAAGCAAAAAATACGTTGAATCTTATAAGAGATTAGAATTTTCAAGATGTTCTACATGAACTAAGGAACCGAATGTTTTCTGAAAATGAAATAACTGAGCTTTTGAAATGGTTTGTTTCTTACAGGTCAAGTGGAAATATTGTTAGTGCATCAGAACTTGATCAATTCATGGGACTTACACGTATTGGCAATATCTTTCGAACTTTGAAAACAATTCGTCATTATTTGAACCCAGGAATAATTCCGACAGATATGGATGTTCCAAATGATGTAATGCCATATACTATTTCCAAAACTTTACCACCTCAGGATCTTAAAAAATGGTTTGGATGGTCAGAATTAACTTTGGTTATTTGGGCAAAGTTTATTGTTAACAAACCCAATTTAGAAAATGATCTTACATTTGCTCGGAAAGTTCTTCAAATTTTGGCAAGAAATTTAAATAATACTTCAAGAAATAATAAAGAAATCATTCGTCAGTTATTTGTTCAAAAAAGATGCATTCCAACTAAATTTGGATTGAAACTTCCAAATGAAGCTTATTTTCAAAATGTCACTATATTTCCTGATTTACCTACGATCGAATTTCAAAAACCTTTGAGTGTTCAGAGTTTAATGGAACTATTGGGAGTACGAAAGGTAATAAACTTTCTTATCAATTCTTAATAATATTATTATAAAATAAAGTTATATAACAAACATATCTTGAATTATATACTTAGGTTGTTGAATTAAAACTCGTTTTTGATCGCCTTGATCGAGGAAATTGGGATCATATGCAACTTGTAAAATATTTAGCTTCAATGTCAAGTGATCTTAAAGCAGATGAAATAAGAATATTAAAGAGCAAACCTATCTGGCCTAAGGAAAATTCGGCAGGTTCCCAATTGGTGCAAATTCAACGGTTTGTTACCAGTAATTTACATGTACCTTCATCATTAAACCGTGAATTTGGTTTACCTATAATTGATTGGAAAGGAAGATGGTCCTCTAGCACACAAGAAGGTAAGTTTATAATCATTTGATTTTGTTTATTATAATATATTGGTAATATTAACATTTTTAAAACTATAGGAACGTTTTTAATAATGTTGGGTTTGCGAGAATATCCTACACTTAAAACCATTCTAGAACTAGCAGCACCTCCAACTGATCCCAAAATTCGTAGTAAAGCTTTCGAATATTTTATTGATAATTTTGATAAAAATTATCTTAAAGAATATAGCCCAGCTACAGTTAATAATGCATTTTTGCCTTGTTCGGATCAAAATACTTATGCAAAACCTTCAGAATGCTTTATTAATCTTGAATGTAAGATAATGAAATTCAAAGTTATTCGTCAAGATTTACGTTATCGAGTAGAAAAACTGGGTGTTCATCAAGATCCTAGCCGTGAAACAATTATTAATGAGTTAAAGAAGCTCTCAAGATATGTGCAATATGGAGATGATGCAAAGAAAATTTTTGAATATTTAGCATCACGGAAGAAAGATTTTATTCGTTCTGATTTTGATCAGCTTGCCAAGTTTGATTTCATACCACTCCGGAATAAAACAAAGACTAATGAAATTATTCTTTTTAATCCACGTAGTGTTTACTTTGAAGTTCAAGAAGGGTAAATATTTTATCATTGTCTTCATATATAATTTTTTATTTTTGTTAAAAATATATATGTATACATAATATTCTGATCTATTTTTTTTTACAAATAAATAAATATATTTATCTTAGGTTAAGTGAATTTTTTCCATGCATTGACTTTGGGGAAAGAGCCAATTCATTTTTGAGTGCATGTGGCGTTAAAAAACGACCGTCTCCAGTAGATTTGGCTAGATTACTTGTGGAATCATCAACTAAACTTTGGGGATTAATTAAAGGCAACATAGAAATATATTTGAATATTTTAAGAATTATTGCTATCGATTTTAAAAGTTTTAGAAACATAGCCGATGAACCAAGTTTAATAGCAAGAATGAAGGGAGCATGTATCTTGGTAGCTATAAAAAAAGAACGTCAAGAACGTCGCACAAATTCAGGAGATGGCAATAATGATGGAATTGATTGTTATTACTTATCTTCGACGAATAAAATTTTTATAAATGATAATAAAATATATCAGAGAGTTTTTAATCCATTAACAGCTCCTGAGGAAAATTTGTTAGAAAGTTTATACAAGGTATGGTTATTATAATCTATATCTATATAATATAATAAAAAAATTCATGTCGATCTTCTAACGTTTAGATTAGCCTGTATAAATCATCTTTGAATTGTGTAATGCATGATTCATCTGCGCCTAACAGTACTACTAATTATATACTAGCAGTTACCCGTTGCTTCGCACTGGGACTAATGAGTTTGTTTAAATAGGCCAAGAACAATTTGGTATTACAGTCAAACCTTTATATAATGATATGTCGGGACACTGTCTCTTATACACATCTAGATGTGTATAAGAGACAGGTATTACGTAGATATAAAAGAATTCACAAATTAAAAGTTAAAGATTATGCCACTAAAGAAGAACTAGTTACAGCAGTTTCTAGACATTACACTTCACAACCTGTCAAAGAAGTTGATGTTATTGCTGCTTTTGTATATAC